TTGTTACTACTAGTAAGGCACTTGTTACTACTAGTAAGGCACTTGTTACTAGTAGTAAGGCACTTGTTACTAGTAGCGTCCTTTTACTGAGAAGTGAACGGGTGGTGGTACCTCTGTTCTTGTTTTCTAGGTAGTTTTGGACTTGAAACGTTCCTTAGATGCGGCTTTCTGAGACCATGGGGTTTCAACATGTTTTAACACGATGTTCGTGTCAAACTAATGCACCTACAAACTTACACAACCGCCTAAGACAGCCTACACAGTTCACAATATTCACAAGGACTGACACGTGCCACACCTCTGAAGGTGCTTGTGGCTCCGGATGGAATAGCATCAAAAGCCGTCGCTGTTGTTCTGGAGTAACATGAGGAATAGTTGCATTGCAGCCAACGCAATCCTCCCCTGCAAACACTTGACTTGAGAAACTTGAAACGTGATTCTATGTGCTTTCTTTGGTCGATGCCTTAAATGCTTCTGGAACAAGAGGCTGTCTTAACTACCCATTGTTGCTAGGCATCATGGAATGGATTGCTCTAATTAACGATATTCTCTTTCATCATTCCCCTTACTACAAAGCTACCTTTATGAGGCCTTAGGTCTCGAATGGCTTGTGTTTTGTCTGAAATGCACCAACTATTACGTCACCGAAGTAGTCTCGATATCTCATCGAACCTCTCCTTGACCTTTCTCCGACGTGTATGTGCTCTGTCTGGAAGTGCCACAGCGACTCTCAAGCTGGATTAAACATTTGAGAAAACCATCTCTGCCATGTTTTTCCAAAAATAGAATAGCGATGCACTTATTACTAGTAGCGATGGCCTCCAACTCAATAGCGATGATGGCCTCCAACCTAGTAGTTTCTTGCTACTAGTAGCGATGCACCTGTTACTAATAGCATTTACTAATAGCATTTTCTCTTGCATGTTCTTTCCTTTTGCGTTCTGCTTTTGGCCTGCCAAAGAACAAAGCGCTGCCCAGTACCAAAGTGGCGCGTGCGCAAAGCCATGGAGCTTGGACAGTCGCTTTAGACGAATGAAGGCCGGATCCTGCAGAAAGGATCAGCGAGACCACTCGTTCAAAAAGAAAGTTCTCTTGTTACTACTAGCTTATTGCTACTAGTAGTAATGCCCTTGTTACTAGTAGCTTCAAAAGTATCGAATTGCATCTGAAACAAATACTTCAATTCTGGTGTGCTTCTCACTCGTCCTTTCTGTTTAGAAGGCCTTTGGGGTTTTTGTAAAAGCGGTGTTAGCTCTAGCTGGTTAGCACGCGAGGCAACAGATCCTTTCATCACGAAGCGGTCGGAGAACAAAAGCAAGACGGACCTGAGGAATATATAAAACAGTAAACAGCGACTAAATGTTGTGTCTATTTAACCAAAAATCACTAGTAGGTTGGA